TTTTTTTTCACTGACAAGACGCTTGAGAGTAGCGCTTGTGGGAGGAGGCTTCAATGGCATTTTTATGCGGGTCTGTCCCTTCCACACCCTTGCTGCAGAAAGGGGAAGAGGAGGGAGGAGAGCAGGCGCTGCCCAGTGCAGGCTCCTCGGGGCTTTCAGCATCCTCGGTGTCCCCTCGGGTCAGCCGAGCCAGAATGGGAAGTCTCCTGGGTCACGCCAAAGAGCTGCTGTCCAACACACAAACAATGGCCAAGTTATCTGTTGAAACTAAAAGGCTTGCTGTCGTTTATTCAGTCTGCTCATTTTTATAGAGCTGTAAAAATCAACAGCCAAAGTTAACACGTACAGATACACAGATAGGGATGCACAGCAGATCATCAACACAGATGGCAGCTTCTTCCCAGCAACATCATCCTGTGCGTCAGAAATGTGAAACTCCGAATATCAGAAAAGAATTCTCAGAAACTGTCATAAAAAGCTTCTGTGACTCAGGTAGCTGTAACAGGAGTCACTGTTACTTCTTACGCAGAGTTGAAAGGGGAGATGACACATACAGTATGCTCTATCTACAACTGTTAGCACCATAACTTTCTCTTGAACATAACTTATTTTCTGGATAATGAGCTGGCAACCATTGTAAGACACAAGTTTGTAACAATACAAAGTAAACTGGATTTAGGGCTCAGTCACGTCAATGCAGGTGGCTGAGGAAAACCATACAACTTAAATCTGGTGTAAAACCGCACAGAATCTCTTGCCTCATGGGTACATCTTCTGAGCCACTGAAAGGCATCATCTATATTCTGCCAGTTCTCTTTTCCCTCTTCCATATCTACAGCACATACAGAAGTACAAGAAATTTCTATTTCAGTTACCAGAAAGCAAAACTAAAATTCAGTGCCATGGAGCAGCGTGTCTGACAGCCTTGTTCAAGGCACTGACAATGCAGAAGCAGAGGAATGGCTTGTTTTATTTTGTTCAACAGCAAATTCTGAAAACTAGACATTTTGGCAGCCCCTGATCATGGAATTTCACCAGCATGTAATTTTTTAAGTTCCTATGCCAACACCCTAAACTCATGATGGATCCAGAATGAATTGTTTTCCTCCTTTTCTTTTGACTACGCAATGGAAGTTTGATACCATTCAACCCCTCTACCTGCAATACATGTGCAACCTGATACAACCCAGGCCCTGCATCCAGTCACTTTCCAGACTCAAATTTTAGATGCACAGTATAGCAAGAACAGACAGTCCACATCATGTGTACGGAGGGACACAAGAAGCTATGGGAGAAGTGACAGACAACTGACATGACAAAATTCCTGCATGATAATAAACACTGACTTCAGTGCTATTTTTCACTATGCAGCAAGTACAGGGAATCAATCTACCCACATGCCACTCTTGAAAGAAGTGTCAAGGCAATAGATACCACTTAGATGAAAGATTGCAGAATGAGTGCTGCTATCAGAATCAGAGTGCTGGTCAGAATCTACACTCTTGAAAGAAGTGTCAAGGCAATAGATACCACTTAGATGAAAGATTGCAGAATGAGTGCTGCTATGGTTTAAGAATCTACTGACCATCAAGACATCAGTGTAGAAAATCCATCTCTGGCATCCATGAATACTGCACAATACATGACATGTCCCCACAACTCTCTGGTCATTAGAGGGCTGTGATCACTTCCAACCCAAGCAGCCAGACACAAAGAGAATCCCTTCCTTTTTCACTGCACAGGTTATTTACAAGAGCCTCTATGGTTTTCAAAATAGCATTTCTTCGTCATCTCTTAAGGAAAGGGACATGGATTTTACTTATTGAATCATGCCCTAAGGTGAACACGTACACTTCATAACCCTCAAACCAAACCTATGCTGTCACAAAACTATCAGAAACAGAATATATCCTATTGCTAATATTTTAAGCAAATAGTTGCATTTGTCATCACTCAAAAAAACCCCAAAACAACAGACCCACAAAAACCCACCACATTGTTAGATCCTGTAAGGATACCCACTATTATTCTTACTTCCTTTCTCCCTTGTCTCATGTTTTCTTCCTTCTCCTGCCAATATTGATGCTGTATTTCTCCTCCAAATCTTCTTTTCCCTACTTGTTCTTCTCCCAGTTCTCCCTACCATTCCACTTCTTGTTCCTGCTTCAGATTTCCATATTTCTTTCCCTTATCTCTCTGCTTCCTCTTGTTCCACTCTCCATGCTTTTGGTTGTCTATAAGGCAGCAAAGTGCTCATCACATGCAAAAGGTAGTAAGGGAAATGGGAAAAAGTGAAGCTAATTTGTGAAAGGAATCACATTTATTAACATCACATAGATATAGATAATAACTAGGAATCACATCTTATTTCTACAACCACCAAAAATGTATTTGTTTCACCCCATTTGCTTCATTTACCAACCACTACAGGAAATAATTTATAAGATTCTGTATCTGTCATTTTATAAGCCTTCTCCTACCCCATGAAAACATGAACAAGGTAGAGTTCCAAAATTACACTTGTGCTCTGTTTTAATATAGTCAGTTATTAAATATTCAGGGTTAGAAATGAATGCTGGTTTTACTACCTATCATATATAATACAGACCCTTCTGTTGATGCAGTGCAGTAAGTTCTCTACTTGAGTGTGTGGAATACATACGAATGTAACTTTAAGACACAAAGTATTTTTGAAGTCAGAAGCAATATGGCACTAGTTTATGAAAAGGAGCAGTTCAACAGGCCCTTTCTTAGAAAGAGTAGACTGAAAGGAAGACCTGTCCCTTCTCCCTGCCCTACTATGATGCATTTATTTCTATTTCTATAACATCATTAAACTGAATTTAGTATTTTTACTTTAATGCTCATAGAGAAAAAGCTTTCAGAGAATGTCTGAATTTTGCAAAAAATTATTTTCTATTTTTCCTCTTATGCCTGTGCCTAGATAAAATTACTGTAACAAAAATAACACACGTTTAACATAAAATTTTGGGTTGCACTTCCCAGTTGAAAGCTATAAAAAATGTTTCCTTATACTTTTATTAAAGAGGCCACTATAGCTTATGAAGTGGAAAGAGAAAAGTATGGAATGCATAGGCTTGCAATACAGGTGAATTATTTTTCTAAACTGTGCAAAAATTCCTTCTCATCATAACCATGTATCTAACTTCCTAGAGTTAACATGCAAATAAAGCTGAATACAAAACTGAAAAAAGATAACAAGTGAAGATTTAATCACAATGATATAAAATGTACTTTATATAGAATACAAAATGGTCCATTAATATATATAAATAAATACACATTTTAATATTAACTTTTTATATGGATAGTTAAACACCGTAAGGTCTTGTTCAAGCGTTTCTCCTTTTGGTATACTCTTAACAATCCTCAACCAGCAGTTTAGGAACGTCTTAAGCCAGGGAAAGACATAACGAGGAAAGACTCCTGAGCACTTTTCAGGCTTCGATATCTACTCTTTGCCAAATAAAAGTGAATGTGAATTTTACTTCCAATTATAGAAGCTACTTGACAACTCTTTTTTTTTTTTTTCCTGAAAGAAACTTAACAAGCCTGGATTAAAAAAAAAAAACAATCAAATCAGTCACACTAGCAAAAAATCTTTTTGCAGTATATTTGCTCAACCAACTAGCATACCCTATATTAGCAAAAACCCTTTCCTTTCCGCTTGCATGAAAAGCACGTGTCAGAAGGATGTATGGTACAGCTACACCAGAAACCAAGCAAGGCATGCCAAGGCCTTAAATTTTTTTCCTGGACAGCAGACTGTATAAGGAGTATTAAAAGTTTGCAAGTGGCCTACTTTAGGAGGGAAGAGAATGCCACAAATTCAGTGACAATACATTTCAATACAATTCATCCAAGTTATACTGTTATATAACAAGCAGGTTAACTGAACTCTTCATGTCAAGCATCTGCTCCACTGGAGAAAAATTTCTGTATTTAGGACAATTTTCACGCATGTATTTTTCAGAACAAGGGCAACGTGGAGAAAAAAAAAAAGAATAAACACATATTCTTTTTCATAAGCAAAAACAGTAAGGGTGGGGTGTTTAATTTAATCCAGTTTTAAGAGCCAGTGGCTGCTCCATGACATTTAGATTCAAATATAAGAAAGTGTACTTTTACATCTATACCTGGTGCAACAATTGAGAATCATGTTTCAGTGTCCACAAAACATCTGACAAAATCCCACATTTTTGTAATTGTGTGGTAGATTACTGTAAAGCGACGCCACATGTGGACTCATTTTTGCATCAGCAGAAAACCTAGCTAGCCCAAAACATGGCAGACTGTCTCATTTAGTAACATATAAATCTTCTGTACTGTGGACAGTACTGACTACCAGGGTTCTGGGTGAATCACTAATGTGGCAGGCAGGCAGAATCCAAATTATTTTAAAAGAACATCTCTCTCCTCCTTCTGTTCTGCTACAATTTGTGGAGGCATGCAAGCAAGAACTTAATGAAGAACTGGTGTTGCTGGGGAGGCATTCTTTCCTGACACATTTTCCACCACTATTAGGTGCTGGGGAAAGCACCCAGTGAATTTCAGGGGTTTGCACTGGCTTTTATTTGTTTTAAGCATCAACAGAACCTAGGTTGGTGCACTGCTAATAGGTATGCAAAAAAAAAAAACAAACCAGTGAAGCAATAAAAACACAAAACCCTGGAAAACCCAACAGCTATATAGTCTAGAGCTTTTTCCAGCCTGTTTACCTGTTGTACTTGGTTGTAAGATCTGTTGCAGTGCTACACAATAGCTGCCATTCTCATCCAAGCCTTCAGAGCCTTCTGTATTAAAACATAAAATCTAGTGCCTTAGCACACCAAACTGCTTCTAAATCCCTGGGTTCGGCAGCAACAGGCATTTTAGATATATGTGCAATAACAATGCATAAAGTAAAACTATGCGTAAAACTGTCTGTATCACAGTAAGTGTTTCTTGTTAGCCACTTCAGACGTCCTTTCCAAGAGCAGTTATGGGGGACAAAGAAAAAGTTTCTTCCTCAGTGTGTGTTGGAGCAGAAGTGAGTATTGTTGGCTTGGGTCAGCAGTCTTATTCCATTCATAGACTTTTCTGTTCAGTTCCGTATGGATATCTAATATAGAGAGTTTCCTGCAGCAACAAAAGTAAAAGCTTTCTATTAGAGAATGAAGCAAAACACCATTTAAGAATTCACAAGAGAGAGGGCTTTAGACTCAGCAAGGAGAAACTTTCAAATTTCAGTCTTTATTTCAGAGGTTACACCTCTTAAAATCCAAGGCTGAATATGCATTTTGGAGATCATCTGTTATAACCAATATCACAGTAGTGATTTTGGTTATGCTGACATGATGATCTGTGATTTCATTGCAAGGTTTTAGGTTTTGTAAAAAAGCGTACTAAATGTTAACCCTGCAGCTACCTTGAAAAACAGCTGCTAGATCCCTGGTAGATCAGTTGTACAACTAAAACTTTTGTTGGTAACTTACATATCCAAACATATCTGATTTTTGCTCAGATTCCTTTTGATGATCTCTTGAGATAGACTAAAGTTTTCTGATAGTTTAAATAGTTCAAGTTTACAAATTGGCAATCTAACGGCTCCCTGAGCAAAGGGTTAACTAGATCTAAAGAAAGCAAAAAATCCTTCCCTCTCAGCTGCCTTTTCCCTGAACGTAGGCATTGCCTTTTTATATTTGCAAGCAGAGCCCTTGTTAATGATTAAAGGCAATCCTCAATTTTGTAGAAGCCTGGTGTGTGCTTTGTTATCTTGGAGAGGGAAGGTTTCCATTCCCGTCTAAAGCACTGATACACATTACCCAGGACAGGTTCTTCCCTTCTCACTCTGCACGCCCCAGTGCCATAACACACTTTAATTTTACTCTCCAGAATCAGAAACTTCACTCCTACTTTAGACTACCTTCCTGTGCCATTGTGCCAGGATCAGATATACTTGTCTTTTAACCTATGACACAGCATGAAGGCACTTTTCAGGACCAGAAGGGATGAAACTTAAGGTCTCTCTTTCTCTAGGACAGCAGGTTGTCATAGGAAAAGGGTTCTTTTTTTCCTTTTTTTTTAAATTTACCTTCTATGAGGATTGCGGAGTAGCTCAGCCAGACAACGCAGATAATATGAGGATGAACTTGGAGATTTTTCTAGTGTAGACACATCCACCTTACACTGACTCCAAAAGATGTCTGCTACTTGGGGGATAGTGAGTTTCCAAGGGATTTTTGTGTTAGCAATGATTTTTTCATCATTCCCATCTACTTCCAACAGACTGGTACATTCTTGCTCATTGTCTGGCACAATGTAGGTCTGAATAAAAAAAAGCTTTGGTTTTCCTAGGAGTTCAGGACATGAGTCTGCTGTAAAGTATTTCTTTATTTGTTCCAAAGGGAATCCAGGAAAGGTATGGTCTGTACAGAAGATGCTCTGAGGAGTTCCACGGCTGACCAATACGCAAATGAAGCTGTCACAATTTCTGTGCTTCTGCAACCTTGCAACTTCGAGCAATGTTTGATTCATGGTGTCCATATTTAAATATCTGTGACAACAAATGTCATAGCCTAAGCCTCTGAAGGTCTCTTCCAACACATCTGAAAAAAGCAAGATGTAATTAAATCACAGCACACCAAAGCTCAATCTCAACTATCTTGAATTACAGTATTTACAGTATTTCACTTTGGAAAATAAGATTTTATTTCCTCACAGCAATTAAAAAATAGGGAGTACTTGATGTTGATCACAATACATTACATACTTATAGTGCTATATGCATGTTGTCTTTAATATTAGTTATGTACTTCGTGATAGCAAAGACATGATTCTTTGGCACATGATCTATTCCAAATTCCACAGACACTTGTATGCTTTAATTTAGAGCCAGTATCTCAAGTTCCTAGGGCTTTAAATATCAGGCAAAAGAAAACATTAGAAAATGGTTTACACAGAACATTCTTGAAATGGTAAGGAGTGATCTGGATAGCATGGGAAGTCTGTTTCACCTTTTAACTTGTCAAAATTACTCTGAATGGTTATCATAGATACACAGAACTACATAGGAAACACAAACTCCCTTTCATCAGTCAAAAAGGAACCTGCTGCCGTCATTTATGCTTCCTATTATATAAAAGGGACTTTAAGTGATGAGTTCCAGGTGGAGAATGGACACTGAAGTCTTAACTGCGACAGAATGACATTTTCAGGAGGAAAAAAAAAGCTAAATAATGTGTTAGAAATTAAAACTGTAGAGAGCCAAAAATCAAGATTTAACTCTCTTGCAATTGTGCTAACCTATGCTGCATGAAAATGTGCTATGCTCTGAATAATGGATGTTTATTAATATGGGAGTGAAATCAGATGCATGGTGGTTAAAACCACGGGTATTTTTTAAGTGTTCATAGAACCACAACTACTACTTTTGACTCATACCTGTAGCATTGTATCTTTAGTATAAACCACATATACATTGCCCCTGCACAGTTTCTGATATGACAGGAAATATCAAGTGCCATGTTTATGTAAAATTCCTTACAGACACAGGAAGCTAGACCGTTCCTTGACTTCAGAAGTTCAACAAACCCTGATTAGCTAAGGCTATTTCAGAGTTAACTGGCAGCAAAGCAAGGAGTTGTACCACCACGCTGTTCTCAAAAAGCCCACAGTGAAAACAGGGAACTGAACAAGTAACTTTCTTCAGCAAAATGCAGGGCAGACACAAACTCTACAGTATAGTGAGGTGATACACAGGAACTACAGAGTTTCATTCCAGTTCTGTTGGTTTGATTAAATTTTGTAAAATAATTCAAAAACTTTCCAGACATTTTTTTTACTTGGAAATAGAAAGGAAAATCCCCTGTATTTTAGGCAATAAAACATGCTCTCAGAATTCAGGTGGAAGATTCAGTATTAATACTTTTTAGTAGTCATATACTCGATGAAGCACTTCATCCCTTAGAGGGCAGCAGTACGTACACAAAACAAGAGTTAAGCAATGAGAGTGCTTTTCCTATAATTTACTTACCTCACTAGCATGTACACAGACACCCAAAGATACAAAACTTGACATCACCTTAGACCATATACACACTCTAAGTGTTCAAAATTAAAACAAACAAACAAACTTAGGCCTGATACCTTAGTTTAACTATGAATCAGAAAATATACATGGTAATTGCATACAGCAATTTTACTTTAAGGCAAGATAAAACACAGCATTACATGCTGCACCCAGAGATCAGAAAACATCTGTTTCTTCAACAGTAATCATCTCCCAACAAACCTCCACTGACTTGTGAGCATTTCCACACTACAGAAAAATTACCCTTTTCTCCCCTTGATTGTTTACAGTGTAAAGATAAAAATTGGCTTCCAAATGGAAAAGTCAAAAGCAGTTACAAAACAGCAAGACTCTATTTACAAAACAGTGAGGTGCATTTCAGTTTGAATTTTATCAGCATCTGATGAATTCACATTGTTTACACTGGGCATCTTCAATTGTTGCAATCTTTGATCCTACAGTATCTATTATTGGTTCAGCTTCCTCAGATTAAATCTTGGGATAGCTACAGACTCTAATGCATGCCACAGATACAATTCCTAATGTTCTCCCTGCCCTCTTCTCTTTCTTTGTTATTTTCAGACTTCAGAAGTAGTGTGGCACTACAGCTCTGTAGAGTAGTGAATGCCTTTCTAACAAACTCCTTTAAGCAATGCCCTATGTCCTGCCTCACCTGAATCTCGCTAGTACAGTAATGTATTTCAGTGAAAGCCTTGCTTTCTATCATGTTAAAATGCTGATGATGCACTGGTGACATTAAACATCTGAGACATACACATAGTTTAATTGCTTTTGCATCCAGTGCAGCATGCATGGAGACTGAGACTTGCTTTGGGTGGTTTTGTCACAAAACCCATTTTTGTCCTTTCCAGTCAGCAGACTTCGTCTATCACATTTACAATTTCTGTTTTTGTACAAACACTGAAATGACCATATGAGCTTATGAAGACCACATGCTTTTTTTTTTTTAAATTTTGTGCACATCTCTGTATTTAGTAGTAATTACTGTGACAAAGGAGTCTGCACAGTATATTGCCTGTGCAAAAGATCTGTGCCTTCTAAGGGAGAGTAGATGTAAATTTATGTATCTGTGACTATGAACTGACATAGTTTTTACTTCCTGTTTTCTGCAATGTATGTGCCTTACCTGCTTTTATACTTACTGTTTCATTTAAAAAAACTCAGACCTGGCACAGTAAAATGCTTTGGATCAATACATCAGACCAGTACATGCTCATATCCCACTGGAGACAATGAAATTTAAAGAAGTTTTTTTTTTGTAAACAAGGCTATTTTCACACCTCATCTTTTCTTTAGTTTTCCACACTGAAATTTCTCTAACAATCCTTTTTGTATTTGCTTTTAAAAAACAGAACTCCAAGTAATAAGTAATTATTTTGGTACTGGAGCAGACTATCATGCCACCTTTGAGATTAAGGCTGCATAATAAGTTTCTTACATCAAAAGGTTCATTTGTTCTCTAAAGCTACGATGAAAGAGAAGAACAGGAAAATAAAGAAGGAGGCAACAGGACAGAGCAGAATGTTTGATCCCAAGAGCAGCCACCCCCACCAGTCTTTCAGTCCTTGGCAGGCCATCTTGGTTTATTTTCCTCTTGGAGCAAAGTCAGCATCTTTTTTTGAAGAAGTCCTTTAGATTGAACAATTTAATTTCTACATCCAGCAAGTGCATCCCTGTTCTTTTTTTTTTTCTTATTCCCCAGAGGTCATTGATGAACTTGGTAGGACAGACCAGAATCAGATCCCAAGGATGCTTCCCAGTTGCATGTAACCGAGTTAAGTGCCCTCCTTGTCCCTCTTCTCCAGGCATGGCAGGACTGTGAATCGGTTCTAGTTCCTGTTACCCTAATGGCAAACTAAGTGTCTTGTTTTATATAATTTACCTAAAATACTATTGTCAAGCACACATCAAAATTTTACTTTCTGTGTCTGCTCTGCATCCAGTGCTCTTCAACAACTACATCAGTAATTCTAAATTGGTCCATCTGCTGGAGAGAGAAAAGATATGCCCACAAATCCTCCTCTTCTACACCTTGCCTATTACAGAACTGACTGCAAGTGCTCTCTTCCTTTTTATTTTTAGCCTCATGTGTTCCAATGATTAGAGAGTGGGGTTTTTTTTGCTTATCCAAGAATCTAATATTTGGTTTCTACAAAGGCAATCAGGAAAACCCACACTTTAAGCATGGCACTGACTACCTTGAATTCTACATGCAAATTGGGGGCTTTGTTTTTTTTTTTTTTCCTTTAAACTAAACCAAGAGGGAAGGAAGAAAAATTCCTTTCCCTATAAAGCTATGGTGATGGTTTCAGTTAAACTGTGCAAGATGTAACAGATGCCTAGGTGCATTATTAAAAAAGGACCATGTGCTTTCAGCTATTCAAAATCTGTGGTGTCTGATATGGTTACGCTTCAAATCTGCAACAGCTTTGGTTTTGTTAACTGGTGGGAAAGACCATTTCTGCCAATAATCTGCTGTGTGACTGCAGCTTAACTATTCTGTTGGTCTCTGAAGATCCTTTTTCTTCCTCCCAAAATTCAGTCTATCCTCTTACAAGTTCTTTCATTCAGAGATTCTGCAGCAAAAACCAAACGTTGCTTGCAATAGTTATGACAGTTGGCATTAACCTCAGTTCAGCATTCCAACTCTCTGCTTTAGAAGACTTACCAGAATTGATAAACTAGCTGACTAGCACAACATTACCCTAGTCTGGCTGGTGAATGTACATCATATTATTTATAACAAATTGTTCTCATTATCTGAGAGTAACAAGATAAGGAACTTCAAATTCCAGAGACTTACCTGTGTCATTGCCGATACAGTCTATTATCAGGCATATTCCTAAAGGTTGACTTTGCATTCTGTACTGATCATCAAACACCTGAGGAACATGAAGGACAAATACTAAGGTAATACGTCACTCTTTCAACTTACAGACTAGATTCTTTTCTCAAATTTAACTACCTCAGATCTCTTCAATTACATTCTGTTGTTTTTCCCTAGAGTAGCTAGCAGAAGTCTATCTACTGGGATATAGTATGTCTTACCTACACAACAAAACCAAAAAAAGGGAGACATGGACTAATGATTTTTTCTGTATTTCCAGTATAGGCTTAATTTTTGCATCTTGTTATGCAACCTTACTACCATAATGATCCTTAAACAAAAACCAAGACTGTACCAGAAATGAGAGAAGCACATTTGAATGTTAACTCTGGACAGATGTTCAAATATTGAAAAAACCCCATGGGGTGGAGGGGCTTTTTAAACACCTGGACTATGACAGCAATGATCCTCCTATGGTACCTCCAAATTAATGTCATTAATTGTAACTGCTGTTGAGATTTTGGGAGCTATAAGCTTCATATTGGCAACGCAACAAATGTAGAAAACTTTTGTGTTCTTCAGGTGTGCAAGCAGGCACTGCTCACCAGAACAACATTTATTTCCTTATTTAGTGGAAGAGCCTTCTTCCTTGTTCCTAAATAATTTGTAATGACTATCACAATTCCTCTCCCCTTGAAAAAGATTACAATCAATTTGCTATAGGTAGCTCCCTGGTTCCTGGCCTATAGGAGAGATGGTGAAAATAACAGTAGTCCATTCTTATCATTAACACCCAAAGCACGTCTGTCTTCTACCTGGAGAGTAAAGGGTGGGAAAAGAATAAAGAACAAAATTTACTGCATGCAAAGAAGCCATCTGCATTAGAATTCGCAGGGTAAGAGGTCTGACTTCTATCAGGTTTTGACTTAGCCTCCACTAATAAATATACAAGTTCTGTGTACACATCATATGTACATGCATTTTGCACACTGCTGCTTCCAGAAAAGCAGCAAATATTTTGTATTAAAAATATATTCTGCAAAAGCAATTCATAGAACTTGTTTACGGCTGAGGAAGATACGGATGTACACATTGTTCTGCTTGCACGCAAATTAAAAGAAATCCCAAAATAAAACACAAAGAAAACCAAGGTAAATACAGAGGTTTTTATTATATTTACATGTATTCATATGCACAAGTACATACCTTATGTGACACTGGTCCTGATTCCTCAATGGACATGTGGGCTGGTTCTGCTGCAGTTAAAACATACAGAAGTAATCTCAGTATGTAGATACCAGTGATATTTCTTTGACACCAAGCCAGTTAAATGGAACCTATCTAGTTCAGCCAAGTTCTCACTCATCTGGACCTCTTAGTTTCCATGTATGCTACTGAAGTTAAAAAAACAAAACAAAACACAAAAAAATTGTCACTTCTAAAATGTTATTTGGATTGCATTCTACATTGCTTCTGACTAGAATAAAAAACCAAGCAATATCTCCTACACTGAGAGAATTCAGCCAACTACTCTTTTAAAAATCGCCATACTTGAGAGGTATTTTGGGTTTCCAGAAAGAACTCAACACACATGGTAAGAATCCGGTGCTCATTGGAAAACTTACTGGCTGGCCTGGTGGAGAGCCCATCACTGAACTGACACAAAAACTTCATACTCAAGACTTAATGGGCACAGCTGCACTACATGGGCCTCCAGAGCTGGCTCATCAACCTTTTCCATTATTTTATTAATAAACTAGTTATGCTGTTAGAAGTTGTGACCCACAACAACTTCAACAAAGTTTTAAGATCTGCCAGCACAAGCAAAGCAAATACAAGAGCAAGTGATAAGGCAAAGTTCTGTTTTCAGTGGCACCAAATACTCTGCTCCTGGTGTTATCAACTGGATTAGCCATAAACACAGCTATCAAACAACCCTTCTGATACAATAAAATTCATCTTTTAGCACTTTTAGATTATCAAAACTCAGATAAAATGCTCTTACCCAGAATAAGATTTTGTCCATTTTGTGATTTTTCTTTGTTCACATTCTGGATCTAAAAATGAAGAAAAAGGTATATTTTCCTTCCCTCCTTGCAAGAATCCATAATCATGTGTTCCAAAATACAACACAACAGTATTTTTCTTCCTCAATAAAAATATTACATATTTTAGATTCAGATCTATCAGCTAATTAGAATTACAAAATAACAAGTAAAAACCACAAACCTTACCAAAACCAAACACACCCCAAAACAATTCCTCCTCAGAAAAAATTTACCAGCTTGACATGAACAGCAAACAAAATCTTAGCCCCTAAAGTAGTAAAACAAACAATAAAAAATCTGAAGATGGGAATTTTGTTTCTTATAGAGAAGCAGGGAGGAACTTTTCACTGAATTAGAAAGGAAATTATAACGATATGATCATAATATGGAAAGTCAAAATCTTCCCATTAGTAGTCTGGAAAACAAAGTTGTTGTGGCTTCGTTAGTAAAGACAAATTGCATCACTGGTGTCTTGTATGTAAGCCTTCTACATACTATTTACTGAACACATGACAGAAAGAATCATATCAAATTCATTTAGCAAGACTAAAGACTAAGTAAGGTCATACTACTACACTATGAGGTCTAACGGAAAACAAAGTTGTTGTGGCTTCGTTAGTAAAGACAAATTGCATCACTGGTGTCTTGTATGTAAGCCTTCTACATACTATTTACTGAACACATGACAGAAAGAATCATATCAAATTCATTTAGCAAGACTAAAGACTTTAAGTAAGGTCATACTACTACACTATCAGGTCTAACCCAAATATAAAGAATACTGCATGCAATAGGATTTGATGACTTTTCACATAATGAGATATCTTAGTTAAAACAAGATTAAAACAAAACAACATCTGATAAGGTCTCCTTAAAAAGCCATATCTTTCAGCTTCCAAAGTTAAAAAGCTACTTTCCCTGCAAAGTCCAGAAGTACAAAGAAAAAAAAAATATGTTTTGCAAAGAACAGTCAAAGCAAAACATTTTGCTCCCCAGAGTAGTAGGAAAAAAAATCTTTCAAGATACAGATTTTATATGATTAAAGAGGAACTTTCTCAGTCAGTAGATTTAAATCAGACCCTAAACCCAGCAAATAACATGAATAAGAGAAATGAACCAAGTAAAATTTTAGTTACTAGCAACCTCTCATTCCTTAGGCTCTGCAAAGCTGAATCCCCTTTCAATGTCCAGCAATATTTAGAAATGAAGGATATGTCTGATTTATTGTATACTTACCCTTGAACCATAAGGAGGATCAATCAGACTGAGATTAGGGAGAGATGCCCGAAGTGCATTTACATATAGTGGCTGAGAATGAACGGAGGACACTAAAGCTGAAAATTTAACAGAAACACACAGAGAAATACATCATGATACATCAGCTGTTTTAAAAGCCTAAATCCGTGAAGCACGCAAATACTCTGACTTGTAACTCACAATTTTATCTTCAGTAAGAACACATCTGATCTTTGCTATCAAGAGTAACAAGCGTAAAAATAGCATCTTACCTTCGTGTTTGTACTTCTGAATCTTCCTTATCAGGTCTATCCTGTGAATATTTTGAAAACAATTTTCTAACAAATCCAGTTGATTAGGAGCCACCAAGTTTAGTTTCTCCAGGTCAATCACAAGAGCTAGAAAAGTCTAGAATAGCAACAGAAAACCAAACTGTCATATCAGTAATTTGTTCTCTATCAGTAAGTAACAAAAGCAACCCAGAAATAACATGGGGGGGTCATAAAGGTTGTATATTGAAGAACTAGGGTCATTACCTTCTGAAACACTAAGAAAATTATCTGGAAGATATAAGAGTTCTTGGTATTATCATAGGAGTAAAGGAAACTAGAAAATTATATTCTTAAAAGTTTTTGAGGAAACAGTTTTGCATTTCCTTGCTGCTACAAAGCTAGCCACCTGGAATGTTAGATCACATGCCACAAAGCAAGAGCTAAGAAAAGATCTGGAGAATTTGCAGGGCAGGCATCTTCTCTCCTCCTTTGAAGACAGAAATCTTCAGTCTTCTATGCACAGTGGTCAAGTTTTCTGAACCCTCTCTACTTAATCTCTGCTTTCTCAGAGTACTTAAATATTCAGAATGCAAATGTACAGAGAAAGATATAACTAAAATAAAACTGTTCTTTTATAAGTGAAGCAGAGCACAAACATATGAAGTGACCTTGCAACTCAAGACACATTTCATATGATTATTGCTTTGAGATCCTTCATATATGAACTTTCAGACCAGTAATACTGAAGAAAGATTTTTTTTTTTAATGCCTTCTGCCTGTCAGGTTCATGTTAACACCATTAACACCATTCACTACAGCAAGCCTTCACTGTTCTCTTTCACTGTTTCTCATGCTCCTTTCCTTGAATTAAAAAACAAAAAATGAAGTAGAAGCCACTACTACTCCTTCTCCACTTCCTGACTTCTGTCTACCCCTGCCTCACTACCCCTACAGTACTGTCTCCCCTACTTTGCTGTCCAGCTACTTACTTCCCTTTTTACTTTAGCCTCTCATTGCTCCAAAGGAGACCAGCAGAAAGACATACCTTATTTTTTGCCGTTTTCATACGAGGTGCATAATCTCTGAGTAGAAAAACAAGAGAACACACTTCTTCTTTTTCCAGATTCTCATTAATCTCTACCATTAGTACCCTGAAATAAAGTTGAGACATTTCTAAAGGATTAGCTTTCTGCAAGATCCCACCCTTGCCCAACTACCCAAATTCTCCCACGTTCCAGTCTTAATGTACCATTCAAATTAAACAACAGGAAAAAAGCCTACCCTGCTGCAAGATTCAGTTACAGAATACCTACTCCTGCTAATCAGCATCTGCATTACTGAGACTGACTGTGTCACAGCCACTGCTAGGAAAACAGAAGTCTCCTTAATATTTCACTAGAGATTAAGTGAGAGAAAGAGACAACAGAACTTCAACTTTTTTACCTAGTAGACATAGGGTTTTTATTTCAGTGAGAAGTTAACACAGGAAAATATTCCTTATGAGTACATATATTTCTTTCTGAAGTCTCTCAAAGAAAATAACTGCAGTTTCTTAATTTAAGCCTTTTAAAACTAGAGTAAAAAACAGTAAGAGACAGGTCCCCTGAGAAAAGCGATACCACAAGGCGCTGCGCCCAAAGAAAACTAGAAATAAAATATCTAAAGAAAATAACTGCAGTTTCTTAATTTAAGCCTTTTAAAACTAGAGTAAAAAACAGTAAGAGACAGGTCCCCTGAGAAAAGCTATACCACAAGGTGCTGCGCTGCGCCCAAAGAAAACTAGAAAAAAAATATCTCTAATGTTGTTCCTCTAAAGCATAATTTCTATGTGCTAATCTGGAACTGTACACATACGAGTGGTTTTATCGATTCACACACACAAGCTTCCAATGCCATGGCTTGTAAGAAGCTACTAAGGCTTATTTTAGGGACTAGACTTGACATTATTTTGAGCATAGCTCTAGATATAATACCCTTTTTCTGCTTTTCTTCTACTATCAACACCTATTAAAAAATAAATAAAGAAACAAAGCCCCACAAAAAAAAAAATCCAAAACAACCCACACACATTTTGAACAGAGTAGCCTTGAAATCTGAAATAGATATATTACCTGTAATCAGGGACAAGTCTGAGACTCCTGGCAAGGTTAGCCTCCACTGTTGCTTTCTCAGTCTTCAAGATCCTCCTCAGCAAGTCAAACCTCTTAACTGTGTACAACAGCTCAGCCAGACCAAGAAAAGACAATTTCTCCCTTTCATTCAAAGCCAGCAAGACCTCTCTAATGTTGGCAGTGGCCAAGTCAGGAGCCAGGTCTCGACATAGGAAAACCATAATCTCTTCTTCTTCTTTATCCAATTCTTGTTCAATCTGGTGAATAAGGACAGCTGGCACTTGGCACCTGGTCATCACTTTGTCACTGTCTCTTTAAAATTGTCAGCCTACTGTTTGTTAAACAGGAAGCCAACATGACATGAAGCCCATGTCTACTACAGCACTTCTCTGATGTTCATTCGTAACTAGACGCATTTTTACTGTTAAACAGGAAGCCAACATGACATGAAACCCATGTCTACTACAGGACTTCTCTGATGTTCATTTGTGACTAGACGCATTTTTGCATCAGCAGTTCTGTGGGAGAGAATTAAAAGGTACTAAATCAGTGATCTGCTGCACATGTTCACAGTTAACTCTATCTGACTTTCATCAGCAGTTCTGTGGGAGAGAATTAAAAGGTACTAAATCAGTGATCTGCTGCACATGTTCACAGTTAACTCTATCTGACTTTGTTCACTTACAACTAAAACACCAATATAGTCTACGCCGACCTCCCGTTCTCAAGGGGTTCTCCCAGCTGTTCATTACAGAACAAAAAGTACATTAATACTAATCAGGAAAAAAAATATTTTAAAAGTAAAATTACCTTAACACAAGTCTGTAAATTTTGTAGGAAGTGAAACAAAAGTCATGAGCTTGCTGATGAGTGATATTTCAAGTCTTTCTGGAAATAAGAGTTAAGTTCCACAGCAGTTTAAGCTCTGACCTCTTCCCAGTGACCCTCCATCCCCTGGCTCACCACCACCTTTTGTCCCCTAAAAGTCTCAAGGCAATTTTCAGGAAGAGTTTTGAGAACTAAGAGGTAGTGTAACCACACATTGTAGACAAAATCATTTTTTAAATGCCACATATAAAACCACTGCTATCAGGCACGTACTTTGCCTTAAATGAAATCAGAATGAAATAAATATTCACAGTATAATATATAATATTTTAAAACACTAATAATCTATAAATTCAGGAATGCGTGGATTTTCTTACTTGTTAGTATCATTTAAAGTGATTCCAATCTGAATGAATTAGTGGGGTTTTAAGGATTTCCCACACACACCCTCCATGCTCAAAAAGATTGAAGAGCCACATAAAGAAAAAATTCCAACCTTAATTATGCAAGTTGGTTAACTCTGATGGTATAGATAACCCATAGACTGCCTTTTCCTTCATGTGACATTCATGTCTCACCATACTGAAAAGTGAAATAAAAATTCAAACCTAGAAAAAACCCCAGCCCTGTGATTAACCAAATAAGTAGGGTGCTATGCTCAGTTTCTGCTGCCACCAACTATGGAAATTCCATCTATCAGATCCCCATTATCTACATGGAAAAAGGCAAAATGAGAAACCTGAAGATGTATCTTAGCCCTCACAAGGAGTTCAGTCACTATACTGCACAGTTTTGTTTGAACCATTCTGAAAAGCAAAAGGCAATTCGACTTCAAAGCCTAATACACTGAAAGATTCTAGCACCCAGAGAACAATTTTTAATTTTTAAAGCATTTTCACTGTCGTGGTTTTAACCCAGATGGTGGCCAAATACCACGCAGCCATCCCCCGTTTAAGGGACATGGGGGAGAGAATTGGAGGGGTAAAGGTAAGCAGACTCATGGGTTGAGATTAGAACAATTTAATAATTGAAATAAAATGTAAAATAATGTCAATAATTAAAAAATATAAAAATGACTGATACACAGTGCAACTTCTCACCACCCACTGACCAAGGCGCAGCCCGTTCCTGGCTAAAGATATTGGAGCAGAGAAAGTCCTGAAACTGCGATCTCAGAAGAGAGAGAGCACTTCCCAGACAACCCTCATTAATATACTGAGTATGACATTGGATGATATGGAATATCCCATTGGACAATTTGGATTTGTTACTCTGGCTATGCTCCCTCCCAGGATCTTGTGCACCTGCACACTAGCAAAACATGGGAAGTTAGAAAGTCCTTGGTTTCTTAGCAATAACTAAAAACATCACTATATTATCAACATTCTTCTCATACCAAATCCCATACTGCATCTAAAACACAGCGCTCTTCTACCTACTAAGAAGAAAATTAGCTCTAGTCAAGCCGAAACCATGACAGTTACACATCCTGGAAGACACAATCAACAATGTCACATATTATACAATCACAGGATGGTCTGGGTTGGAAGGGACCTTAGAGATCATCATGTTCCAGCCCCCCTGCCATGGGCAGGGACACCTTCCACTAGATCAGGTTGCTCAAAGCCTCATCCAACCTGGCCTTGAACACCTATTGTATCCATGCATTAAGGAGATGAGATAAACTCATCTACCAGCTTTTTTTTTTCCCCTTTTCATTCCAATGCTGTTTAAATGAAAAATAGCTCTATACATCCACCTGATTTTCCTCAGAAAGGGAGTAAGAGTTGGATTTCATTGAACCCATGGATTGGTTTCCACTGCCCACTAAAAGAGCATATCAAATTCAAGTTCCTAGGGCAAAGTCTCCTTTATCTACATCTATCCCAATGAGTCTACTTTCTATGGATTCAAAGACTGCAGTGGCTTTCTCCTCCAATGGTTGCTGACAGTTAATCTTGCTGATAGCATGTCTGAATCACTAGGGGATTGTAACACAAGTAGCTGCTATGACCTCAGGGTTCCAACTTCGGAAGCAAAACTGAAAGGGGAGGTAAGCAAGGGCAGCATAGACAAACTGTAAAATATCATAAACCCACCACATTAGAAGACCCAAGCATTACTCAGCTTAAGTACTCCTGCATTTCCATACCACAATGTAAATGAGATCTAATGTATATGCAGCAGTCCTCAAAATGGCACAGAGGCCACTTTGGCTCATTTTTAGAAGCATTCAATTCCAACAGAGCATTCAACTCCAGCTGAGAGTAAGAAGGCTGCAGATAACCCTGCTTAGCCCATCACAGCCTCCTATGTGCATTGTACGCAGACTGTGCTAAATACCTAGAGAAACTGTGCAATTATACTACTCCTGCTACAGCATACAACCAGAAAAAAGCAACACCTGTCCTCTCTGCTACAGTTCAGAACTCAGAAGGGACAGGCACAAACACAGTGTTTTCCCTCATCACATCACACCTTTTAGGAACTTGGGATAATTAAATGCACTGTTTGCACTAAGAAATGAAACAACATTTAGCCCTCATGTAAACAGTGCAAATGGCAAAAAAACTTACAAACAAAACCGAAATTAAATATCAGTAGAAGCTGCCCCTTTCAAATACCCAGGACCACAGTATTTTTAATATAGCAAGCTGAAAAGTTTTGTTTCCAACAAAACCAAACCGAGTATTTATACATTTGAACCAGTTCTATTTCACACATGGACCTACAATGCTATCACTTGTACAGCTGGGATAGAAGGGCAGGGTGGAAAAATTTTCAGGCCTTTGGTAAGCAGACGAACCCCTCATGCACTGGAATGTGTTCTGTGAAGTTTTCTATCAAGGAAAAACATATTTATTGGTAACAACTTCCTTTCAATCTAGCATCAAACATTTGTGAGAATTCTACAGAAAGGTAAAGACTGTTTTCATGACATAATGCAGTCCAGAAGGGGGAGGCACAAAACACTCACTCATATGAAAGCATTTCCCAGGTACAGACAGCTGGGACTTTCAAAAGAGCTTGAGTACATCATATTTATGACTCACTCTAAAGGGAGATGGGAATTTAACAACTTTTGGCCATTTTCAGAAATCTCAGATAAACCTTTTTTTTTTAAACTACTCTAGCTGATTTCCATCTAACCTTTTAAAATGAATCACAGAATGTTAGAGATTGGA